ATATATATATATATATATATATCAAATACCTATAAATACATTTTTATATCCTGTACAGCACTTCAGGACAAATGCAAACTAGATTCTGTTGCTTTGTACTTGTGACAAGGTAATAACTATAAAGTTTAATTATATTCTGTTCTATTCTATATATTTAAAAATATATTTAATATATCTAAATATATCTATATATTTAAAAATAAGAGTGGGGTTTATCCCATTCTTATTTTTTATCGATATCTTCAAAAGAAAACACAGGACAAATCCACATATAACAGACATATTTAGACTATATTAGGTTATTTTTTAGCTCTTCACTATTATGCTATTCTTATACATTTTTCTAAGGTCCACATTTGTGTAACATTTTTTTTTTCAATAATGTTTTTACTGCTGTAGACACCAATATTTCCCCATTGTGGGACAATAAAGGGATTTTCTATTCTATTCTATTTTATTAAGAGAACTATCAGTCAATCCTGAGATCTGTCAGAATGGAATTAGAAAGATAAATATATACAAATCAGTACAGCAGTTTTTTTTATCTGTTTAGATTATTTTTCTGTTTTGTGAGTGTGTGGTCTAGTTTTATCTAAAATATGGAGGAAGTGCTTTTGTAAAATACAGGTAAATATGGGCACAACTGGTCCCTATATGGTAAAGTTCTAAAGTTCTGTTTTTTGAATTAGGGTTAGTTTTAGGATTAAGGTATATATTCAGTTTAGGTTAGGGATTAGTTGTATGTTGGTATGCTTAAGGTATGGCTCTGGGTCAGGCCATATAAAATGAATGCAAGTCACAAAAATGTCATGAAAACAAAGCATGGTGTGTGTGGTATTTTCTGTATTTTTCTGTATTTTATTTTTTTTATACATTCATATATGTATAGATATATATATAATACATACAGAATTGAGTTAAATTCAAACCAATTCCATCTTAGAGCTGAATGAAATGTTTCAAATCCAATTTCAATCTCCATACCATGTATCCTCTACATATTTTTCTGCTGATTTTAACTCTCTGAAATGTGTCAATGTGAACAATCTTCCAGTAGAGGGCGCCCCAGAGCGCTATCACTGAATAATAGTTATTGGTTCGCCTAAAAAAAGCAAAACAATGTATTTATAAAAAGAAACAAAAATAGTAGCCTATGGAGTAGCACAAAAAAAGAAATTCTCATTCTTAAATAGCTTCACTACGACAATCTTTCTTAAGCAACGTTTATTTTTAAGACTTATAACTTAACATATCAGCTACAGGTATAAAAAAAAGGAAATATAAAAAACAAACAGTCCATTTGAAAAATACTCACTACCCTACTGAATACATTTCAATGAACACAGTGTAAATCATATCAAAAACTGAAGGTAGCATCATAGAGATCAAAGCCATTTATAGGTGTTGCTTAACTAGATATTAAGGTTATTTCTGCAAAGCAGAAAGTCTCATAGCCTGCGCATATATACAGAACCTCAGTATAGGGGCTTCGAGCAGAGATTTGCATGACCAACACAGGTCCAGGTTTCTGCAGACGTCACTGGTCGATGGTCTTTGTTTTCTCCCCACCTCCCGGAGGAGGAATACAAGTTTATCGTGCAGCCAGGGACGGGACGGTCGGGCTCCTCCGTCCGCGGGCGTCGACTTTCTTTCCTGTATGGTGGACGTCCTGCTCAACACTTCTTTCTTGGATGATATGGGGGATCATTCAAAAAGTAAGATACCTTTATTTCCAGGAACAACACTCTTTATGTAATACTTATAAGCCTAATAATTTGTTGATTTTTTTTTAATACATCAACACAAACATCCTAATTAAAAAAAAACATTATTTCTATCATAAGGTGGAAAAAAATGGAAAGCAACTTTTAAGATCAGAGTAGCTTTTGCGCAGCAACAGCTCATGGTTGGATGGGCGGTCATGTTGGTTTTGCACTAGTTTCTCTCAAGGTGACTGTGGGGTTCAACATGCATCTGTCACAGTTTCACATTAATGCACCTTCTCCGCGCAGAGAAGTCGGGAATCGCAATGTGCGTGGGCTGTGGAAGTCAGATACACGACCAGTACATCCTGAGAGTGTCCCCGGACCTGGAGTGGCATGCTGCCTGCCTGAAATGTGCAGAGTGCAACCAGTATCTGGACGAGACTTGCACTTGTTTCGTCCGGGACGGAAAGACTTACTGTAAAAGAGATTATGCAAGGTACATGGCCTGAAAGGTGGATCAATTTATTCTCTATTTTTGCGCTTCAAAAAAAATGAAAAATAAAAAAATGATAACGCCAAAAGAGTAAATGCATTTTACTGTTTTAAAATATAAGCTTTAGGTCTGTCTAATTAATGCAAATACATATTTGTGCATTTTCCCTCAGATTATTTGGTATTAAATGTGCAAAATGCGACATGGGCTTCTGCAGCAGCGACCTGGTGATGAGGGCCCGGGGAAATGTTTATCACATGGAGTGTTTTCGGTGCTCGGTGTGTAGCCGGCACCTCCTGCCGGGGGATGAGTTCTCACTGCGGGACGATGAGCTGCTGTGTCGGGCCGATCACGGCTTGTTGGTGGAGCGGTCCTCTGCAGGGAGCCCGCTGAGCCCTGGGAACCTCCCCACCAGGCCCCTGCACATAGCTGGTAATTATTATTTTTTTTATTATCATATTAACTTTATTGCAATATCTGCTTAGGCTTTAGCATATTATTATTTTTTTTATTATCTTTTTAATTTTCTACCCTAGATCCCATTTCAGTCCGGCATCCACCTCACCATCGGAACCACGTCCACAAACAGTCTGAAAAGACCACCCGCGTCCGGACGGTTCTGAACGAGAAGCAGCTGCACACGCTGCGGACCTGCTACAACGCCAACCCGAGGCCGGACGCCCTGATGAAGGAGCAGCTGGTGGAGATGACCGGCCTGAGCCCCAGAGTGATCCGGGTCTGGTTCCAGAACAAGCGCTGCAAGGACAAGAAGAAGTCCATCCTGATGAAGCAGCTTCAGCAGCAGCAGCAGAGCGACAAAACAGTATGTGAATCTTTATCAGCCTATTATTATGAAGAAATAGAAAATAATCAACTAGTTTTACTTATCCACATTGTAAAGTTATAATTGAGTATTAATTGGGGGAAAAAATAAAATAAAAATCAGAAGAAAATCTAAAATTGCATGCTTATATATATTTTTTTCATGCTGGATTAATTTAAAAACGTTCTTAACGACGTTTTCCCTTAAAAGTACAACATCTGTACAAAATGAACCTTTTTCATCCCCCTGTTAGAATCTGCAGGGCCTGACAGGCACTCCTCTGGTGGCTGGGAGTCCGATCAGGCATGACAACACCGTGCAGGGGAACCCAGTGGAGGTACAGACCTACCAGCCTCCGTGGAAAAGCCTCAGCGACTTTGCTCTGCAGACCGATCTGGACCAGCCTGCTTTCCAGCAACTGGTAGGTTTGCGTTTATGGGCATGTGTCAAAACGCATGCAAAGGACAGAAAAAGATATATTTTTTTACTGAAGGTTTAGTTGTTTTTTCACCTGATCTATTTAAAGGGCCTAAACTGCATGCTGTGATTTTATTAAAATTTGGAGAAAAAGAAAATCAGTTGAATTACAATTGACCTTTGGGTCATAATATCAAATCTATATAAATTACCCTGTGCAGGAACCTTGTATAAGAATCCTGCTATATATAAAGCTGTCATATGTGCACTGCAAAAAAAAAAAAAAAAAAAAAGGAATCCAAATAAGTTATTTTTTCTTAAATTAAGTGCATTTTCCTTGAATTGAGGAGATAAGTGAGACAATTTACCAATGGAACAAGACAATTTACATGTAAAATAAGAAAAAAACAACTGTATTGTCTTATTTCAAGTGCATATTATCTAATTATCTTATTCTAAGAATAAAAATACTCATTCCACTGCAGATCATCTTGTTTATCTGCTAAAATTAAGGGTAAATAGATTTAATTTTAAGAAATATTATATACTTATTTCTAGATTGTTTTGCAGTGTGTATGCACTTTAAAAATCCCATGCACCTTTTTCTTTCTTTGGCACATTATTTAAGCTGATTTAAGGAGTAAATTTCTCCACTGTAAGATAAATAAAGTCAATCAATCATACCAAGCTGGGATTATGATATATATAAATATATATATTTACTTGTCTGTGTCTCCTGCACAGGTTTCTTTCTCTGAGTCGGGCTCTTTGGGCAACTCCTCGGGCAGCGATGTAACCTCCCTGTCATCCCAGCTACCGGACACACCGAACAGCATGGTCCCGAGTCCTGTCGACACGTGATGAGGCAGACGGGTCAGCTGGTGGCCGAACTCTGAGCCTCATCATCCCCATAAAGGAAGCGCAAGGAAGACATTCAAGGGAACCGGGCTGGATTATACTGCAGGATCCATCCATGCAGATCGGAACTGGGAGGACTGAAGCTCTAAATGCTTCCTGGATCCACAATTGTAGATGAACACGAGGGGCTTCCTCTTGTAGAGAAAAAAAAAGTCGTGCCAATAGCTACCTGGATATACTGGGAAGGATGTGATTGGATTAAAGCACATAAGCCAGTGCTGGACGTCTGCGCGTCGAAGATTCCAGTATGTTTGTCAGGAAAATGCAACCTGTGTAGATGTGCATGATCTGTAAGATTCACTAGACTGATGTAAATTATTGGATCAGATGAAAGAGGTGTACCTCTCACCTTTCCTATCGGAAAATAAGTTATTACTATTTATTATGAAGGCAAATATAACTGATCTTATCAATAAAACAACTGCTTACTGCATGCATAAAATCAATTTTGTCGATCAAGGCGTTCAGTATATATATATATATTTATTTTTTTCGTTTGAAGAACTATAGGGAAAAGAGATCATCTTTCAGTTAAATGAAAAAAAAACACAATAATTGATGTTTTGATATTTAATTATTCAAGGAAGATTTAGGTTTGGATGAGTAAGCAGAGTTTGGTTAGAGAGTTTTATAAAATAAAATAAAAATAGAGATAGGAAGACGTCAGCTACCATGGGCTTCTTGAGCGCTGATTGCAGCAAACAATCTTTCTGGTGAAATAAGTCAATCTTTCCCTAAAAGTCTTAAAGATCATAAAAATCTCGATGGATTCACAGAATATTAAATATTTTAAACAGGCAATTAATTTGAAGATGTCTAATATTTAGCAAATAAAAGTTAGAAATAAGACAAATATTCTGTGAATTTGATCAGAGCGGTCAGGAGTATAATAAAAGGAAGAGATCATAATAATTAATATGATATTATTTATTTTGTTTACTGTAAAAAGACAGCAGATCCGGATTTTAAACCTTTTTTAACAAAAAAAAAAATAATAATTAAAAATTAAAGACCAGTTGGCAATAATTTGTGGCAATAAGAAATGCTTGTTGAAAAGTATTAGTAAAAAAAGGAGAAAAGAAACAGTTAGGGGATGACGTCATCCAGTATTAAGGCTTCTTATTCTTTTATTAAATCTTTGTAAGTTTTCACAGTGAATAAACAAAATCGTGCATAAATGAATTGGCTGTAGGAAGACAACTGATGAAACTGTAAGTAACCTACTATGTCTGGTTGGATGTATTCAAGGTCTGGAGACCATTCCTTAATTCTAATAAAACTAGAGTTTGCTAAAAAAAAAATAATAATAATAATAATAATTCTTTTGAACATATTGAAGTTAGAAAAACCAGGATTCGTATCTGAAATGCCTTGTTTAGAAGATATATTTCTGAAAGGGTAGAAAGTTTATAGTTGAAATCAAGGCAAAAAAAATATCCATTTAAAAAAAGCTTTAACAATTCTGTTTAGAGTTGTCTGCAGGTTTGGCAGACTTTTAATCTGCTTGGATAGTTTCTGAGCCAAGTGGATCAGTGACTGATTGTTGACAAGATATTATTTAGCTTTTTGCCCTGTGTCAGGGGTCAGTGAATCAGACAATAAGTGTCCGCTGTTCTCCAGCTTTAAGCGTTTTCAATGTTTGCATTGGCTCCCATTTCTAACATGACGCGCCTTTGCAGCCAGATTCCAAACAAACTTTACGCAGCGTTTGCTGATGATATAAAAATGTAATTTTGCTTTTAGACTAAATCAATTTTAGCCTACAAAACTGCAGTCCTGTATTATTGGACTGGAAGTCTAGACTGAGTAGCCTCCAGGCAGCGGGGGCCCCTTATCTCCATCTGGCATCACCTGTAAGGGATCCAGTGGGCTGACTGAGCCGCGCAGCGCTGAGGGGACTCCATGCTGCCTGCGGACGCATCTTCAGTTTATTTTCATTCCAGCAGGAATCCTGAGCGACAAATAGCCGCTGGACAGGAGAGCATGAGGGTCAAGCTTGGACTGACACTCTACACCTCAGCAATTTGTTGGGGAGGATCGGTTTTTATCAGCAAGGGAAATTGAGCCCAATTCAAATAATAATAAAACAACAGAACATGCTGAGAACTAGTCTAAATATGTCAAAGATTTCATTGTAGCAATAGCTCATCTTATAAAGAAAATACACACCAGTAAAATATAAGATAAGGTTTTCCTTTTCTTTACATACTTACCATAAACTTGAGATAACCTATGTATTTTAGCATTATATCATCTGAACATTTCACAGGCCCCAGATTTCAACATCACTGATTTAAAGCAAGCCTGAATGAGCTGGGAGATGGTACCAGTTTCACACTGATGAAATAAAAGGCTGATTCCTACATTTCTTTATCTATTCTGAGACACCGCTTCAGATCTATAATAAACATTTTTTTCTTAGTGAAATTAAAATCTGTATGTCAGCAAATCCATCCCCGTTTCACACTTAAAGACTTGTGGAGAACAAAGCAAGAAAAATTTAAAATGTTTAAAATGACCCTTTTTAAGTGGTGAGAGAAACGGTGATTTACAAAAGTTTATTTTATTGAAATATGCTATTAAATGGTAAAAATCAAGAGGACAAACAAAATCTTGCAGAGCTTTAATGCAAAATATATCAACTAACCCCCCGCCCCCCCCAAAAAGTATGGCAATTGGCCTTTAGCTATGAAATAATCTATTAAGACAAATGGAGACCCACCTGCTGTATTTGTTTAGCTGGTGCTCAATGTGTATAGAATAAATCAGAGAATCGACAGGATAGAACAGTATTTCACAAACTTTATTAAATGAAATATATTAACTCGTAAATGTCTCCTTGAATATGGAGTTATGAAATTAAACTATAAATGGTTGATATTTTCTAATAGTGGAACTAGGAACAGAAAGAATACACAAAAAACAAGAATCTTGTGACCAAAAATAAAATGACAGAAACAAATAAATTAACGTAAAACGGTACAGAAAGCGATTAACAAATTATAAATAACAGTAGAAGTAAAATATATTTCCATTACTTGGATGAACAGAGATAGATTTGAATGAAGTATTCAAATAGCTAAACCATATTTTGAACAGCAGATGTCTAGTTTTTTTTATTTCACATTATGCATAAATAAAATTTACACTCACACTACATACATGCAAAATTGCTCTAAAAAAAAAAAAAAAAAAACAGGAAAAAGCTATGACACTAAATCTCACAGGTCTTTCTAATGAACGTTCATAAACCATTCGGAGTTAACATCCTCTAAGTTAACAGAAACTGCACTAATCAAAATGACCGGAAAATTGTAAATAACTATATGTGTCTCATTTCCGTCAGCTGCAAAAACAGAATGGATTAAATCACTGTTTTATTCTTAGCTTAATAACAAATAACTTGTAGCTAGGAGCAGCACTTATGCTCAAAATACATATTTTTTTATTTGAGAGTTACTTCTACCCACAGTAAAATGTAATAATATCGAGAAATCGGCATAGTAGTAAACATTTAATTAACGAGTGAAATACAGTAAACGAACAGAGGCGTCCCCGATGAGAACGTTTGGCAAACAAGTTACAGCACAATTAAATGTTTTATTCTATAAACTGTGCAACAGGAACAAATACATGCAAAACCACTTAAACAGCAAAACAACCGATAAAGTATTTAAACTTTAATGAACAAATAAGACATTTTGTGCAAATTATTCTGCTGCATCAACAAGATTTCCACGAAATCAACATGGATGCAACATATAAGGCCTTTTAACGTATTAAACATTGATGTCATCAAGGAATTACCCTTTGAAATGGCTAAACTGGGATTTTTAAATCAGAGGACTGAGTTCAACTCGATCCCTCCTCCTGCTTCTTGAGAAAAAATTGCAGGGCTGAGTCCCACTGATCTCTTGGAAAGCGGTAGGACAGCATGCAGTAATCCAGCAAACATCGGGGAGCTAAACAGGGAGAAAAACATAACCTTTAATACAGAGTGTGGCAGAAACCATTAATGCTTTAGAGGAAATCACACGAGTCAGAGCTTCTCATAAAAATAAAATACCACTGAAGAGAAGAAAAATCAAAGCAGAAGGACAAAGTTTTTAAAAACATAAATTTAGCTAAATAACTTACCATTTTTATTGATCTTATCGTCTGAATCCTTCTCATTTGCAGCACAGTCCTATGAAGAAAAAGGCTTTTTAAATGAGGATGCAAGGATACCAAAATTATCAACATAATTAAATAACTTCTTAATCATACTACATGGTTTAAGCACAAAGCAACACTTAAGGAAGGAAACGTTTAAGCTGCTGTGACAGTTCCATCTCATCCTGATTTACTCGGCTATCCAGGATTAAGTTGCTCCACTCGGAGGAATGTTCCTGAGCTTAACACGGTTGAGGGCAGCGGGGCAAGACGCCATGCATTATTGGTTTGTTTGAAAGAAATGACAATGGCTTGTCTCCCTTTGAATGGAAGTTAATCGGTGTTTAAACAGTGGTGGCTGCAGCGTGGCGAAGAGGGCTTGTTGTCAGAGGAAGATGAAGGAGAAGAGATGTTTACTGGGAGTTGAAGCAGTGGCAGGTAAATCCACCGTGAAGGAATCCATTTATCTTGGTAAAAGCCCGCCTGCTAAAGATTCACCGGCGGCCCAGACCACCTCCTGTCAATTAGCTAATGGACTGCTAATGTGGTGGAATTGTGTGATGTGCGCGAATAAACCAAGAGTTTGACTTTTTTTTTTTTTTTTTAAAGATGCTCCAAGTCGGCAGCAGGTTAAATTAATATATTACCCCGCATATTTTTAAGCTTGCATAAAACATTGCTTTTATTTTCCAAATTGCCATTTACCTGAATGAATGTAGCCAGCAGCACGCAGCTCATCTCCTGCTGCAGGATCACCTTGTTATGAGAGTTGTTGTAACAGGCAGAGATGAGGGTAGGAAAGAGCACTCTGATGAGGCGCGGGTGGCTGAAGTATTGGAAGGGCAGCTGACACAATTTCTGCAGCACGCTGGGCTGGCGGCCAGACTGCACCATCACCTGGAACACACAAAGAGCGGCCAGTCAGTCACTAAAACCTGACAGTGGCGCTGCTGGTTGTAAATCAGCACCCTGCGCCCCTCCCACATGTAAATCTGCCTCTAAAACAACATACAAACAGCCATTAGGAGGAGACCTGGGGAGGAGAGCCTCCCACTGCACAATCACAAGCTATAAAACACAATGGGAGAGAAGAGCGAAAGAATGACAACACGATAAGCTGCAATAGAGGGAAAATTTTAAATGTAAGCTGATGTCCTCATTAGCGATTAAAACTTTACTTTCAAGTCTGGTGTGAAGCTTCAAAGCAGTCGGTGCAGGAGTTAAGCTCGGGTTAAGAGGGCACTCGCAGTGCAACCGGGGTATGAAGGGGTGGAGCTAGAGGTCAAACACACGGTGTACAAATT